AAATAAATAAAATAAAATAATATAAATAAATATAATTATATATATATACATAATATTAATATATATTATATATATAATATAATATATAAATAATAAATAAAATAATAAAATATCATTAAAAAGATCTTACATCTGTAATTGTAATTAAATCACTTATTTCTCTCGATAAAATCGCACGAAAGTGTCATTCGTTTCGTCGAAATCATGATCAATCGCGCGATAAAACCAAAGATATCATGCCGACTTATCAATCTTATCTTTATGTTATAGATGCGACAGTGATATAAACGAGTGCGTAACTCTCAGTCCCTGCCAGCACGATGGAGTCTGCATAAATCTTCCTGGTTATTTCCGCTGCGAGTGTCCGGACCAGTTCACCGGCGAATTGTGCCAGAATTTCCGTTTGATCACCTGCGAGAACGAACCTTGCAAGAACGGCGTCTGCACAGACGTTGTCAATCCAAAGACCGGTGATAATTTTACTTGCACGTGTCAGCCTGGTTACGAAGGCTCAATTTGTAATGTTCCTTACTGCATCGGACGAAAGTGTCAGAACGGTGGCAGATGCGAGTTCACATATCAGGTACGTGTACCTACACTCGCATCGGTATTTATTATACTATTCAGCATGTTGCAGGTTGATTTGTAACTTTTTATAATATTAACTAATACTAACTAATTTTATAATATCAAGACTGCGGATATTTATGCAAATTTTTGCATTTTTATAGTTATTTTATGGAAGCTAGAATGACGGCGAAATCTATACCGCGAGCTAGATAGTTCCGTCTGATAATAATACAGTAGTGATGCGATTAGTGTTTGCTAATAATAATATATATATATATATATATATATATATATATATATATATATATATATATATATAACATAATAATAATAATAATACATTATATAATATATAATATATATATATATATATTTAAGCAGACATTCCCATCTGCAACGCGATATATTTTTATGATATTATGAACATTTAAACAGTATTTAAAAATAGCAAGATACTTTCAAGCTGCATTTTTAAGTTCCTTCGATCTCATAGTTTAAGTTACGAATTACACATTATCTTTTAACTTTAACATAATTAAATATAATTAACTTTTATATAATTAACAGACACCTCGTTGCACGTGTCCATCTGGTTACTCCGGACATTACTGCGAAATTAATATCGATGACTGCGCGCCCGATGCCGAGGGAAATGTTCCATGCAAAAATGATGGGAAATGTTATGACGGTGTGAACAACTTCACCTGCGACTGCAGCGATACTGGCTACATAGGACCTGACTGTTCCTACGACATAGACGAATGTCAAGATCCGCATACGAATTGTGGCCACGGACAATGTGATAATTTACCAGGGACTTATCAGTGCATTTGTGAAACTGGTTATTGCGGATACAATTGTGGAATGATGGATCCCTGCAAAGAGGTATGTCCTTTAACTACATTATTTATTCTCGCGTACAGACAATTTCGTTTTATCATTTTTTATTCTTTCTTTTTTGCACAAGGACTTTCGTTTATAATTCAGCAATAGTTCCTACAACATATCGACATGACTCATAGTACAAAGATTCAAAGAGAAAGTTCCTTTCTTTTAGTCCTAACTTCTAATTATTAGAAGCTACTTACATCTAATTTAAGCAGTCCAAGATTAACACATTTTGGGAACAGAATGAAGACAAGAATAGAACTAAAATCTTTACACTTTTGAAACTCTATGAATAGAACATTAAAGAATGGTCCAAATTAGATTGAATTGAATTTAAGCGAAATTATACTAATGCGTAGCTAACGTTTCCATAGACATCATTGGCGAAATTATGATATTTTTGTTTACAATCTCCAACTTCCATTTTCATTAGATCAAAATCTACCAATTTTGCCTGTAAATAACATTTAAATTGTTCCTTGCAGTATTTTTACTTTAGTATCAAAATTCTTTACTTATTAAGCAATAAAAAAGTCAAGCAATAAAAAATATTATTTGTGAAGCAATCAAAATTGTACATAAAATTTCGAAAGCAATGTTGTCGTATGTATAGTTTTCCTTATAACATTGTTATATCAGAAAATAATATAATATACTATCGTCTTTATTATAATTTACTTTGTTCATACAATATCTTTTTTACCAACAGGGTTACTGTCAGAATGGAGGTACATGCAAGTGTGGAGACGATGGGGGATACAAGTGTCAATGTACTCCAGAATATATTGGACAAAATTGTACAGAGGTACGTTCCCTCATTTAGCAGAACAAGACTTTATTTATTTTGCTATTTTTACCTTCGTTATTTTTGTAAAACTCGAAATTTTTCTTTAAATATTTGTCATAAAATTATTTAAGAGAGCACTTAAATATTTCATACACGTTACATTTGTTAAATCTCACGTTTCATTTATTATCTATACAGGGTGTCCCATTTGAAATAACGCACTCAATTATAACCTAGATTGTAATTAAAAATGTTTAAAATGAACTTTACTCTGTATCGAGTGGGACACCCTATAAGGTGACCTTGGTCTTTTTAAAGGGACTATATAATTTTTTTATGATTTCAAAGTGAATTAATTGATCTATAACACTTTGGTCATCGAAGGTCGTTAAATAGCGTTAAATGACCTCGAACGACCTTCAAGGACCAAAGTAGTTAGGTCAATGAATTGACCTCGAAATGCACTGTCTGCTTACATAACAAAAATATACGGTTTCGTTAAAAAGTTAGTGACATTACAAACAATTTCCTTACATAGAATACCACTGGTACTAAGAAACGAATACGATCCAAAGTATAGTTCTTTTCAAGATTATTTTTTTTCCGATGTTCAAGGTCATTGATATTAATATGCACATAAGTGCATTTTTTTTATTGCATCTTATATTATCTTATATTATATTATATCCTAATTCGATACAAAAACGGTTAATATTCTCTTGTGTCTATCGATGCATTTCGCAACTGATATATTGTTTCTTTTTGTCCTCTTGAATATAGACGGAAAACTTTTTGGGGAGCCAAGCGCTCGATATAGCTGTGATCGTCGGTCCTATTATTGGATGTCTCTTTCTAATAGCGGCAGGTTCTTTAGTCGCATTATTTATGATGGCCAGGAAGAAACGAGCGACCCGAGGAACTTACAGTCCGAGTGCTCAAGAATTCAGCAATCCGCGTGTAGAAATGGATAACGTGATGAAGCCACCGCCGGAAGAGAGATTAATTTAAAATTGTTCGTGTATGTGACGAAGGAGCATGGCATGATTGTTCCGCGTCCATAAATCCTAGTCGTTTGATAATATGCAACGTGTTTGCGGTATACACCGATCAGAGGGAAGAACCTCAACGAATCGTCCTGATAAGAGAGCCACTTGGAAAGGGCAAGTCGAAAAGAAAATATGGTTTCATCGCGTTTTCTAGTCCACGCTCCATATTAGGGTGTTGTCAAGATGACCTAGGAAATTAAGGAAACAATACCAGATACGAGAATCAATTTCGAATAGTGGCACTAAAGATGAATCACGTTAGAACTATCCTAAAGAGCTACATCCGTTTGAACTCTCAGGGAAACACATTTTTTCCGCTCTCTTGCATAGCATCATGGCTCCAGACATTTTTTTATTTGTCTCTATTATTAATAATACAACAGAAACAGTTTTTTCTTTTTTTACTCAGCATTGAACGTTGAAATATTGATAAAGATCACCATTTTACATGTTGTTACGTTGCCTGTCTTAGAGGTGATTTTTCAAATTAGACAGCTAAAACATTCATTGCCATTTTAAAAACACAGTTTATAAATTCAACATAATCATTTGTATATAAATACCTGATCAGCTTTTTAAAACAACAATCCATGGAATACATGATAAGTAACTTTTTATTTTCAAACGAATGTGCTCCATCAATTAAAACTTCGGTATCAGAAGGGAATCAAAATTGTGAATCTATGTTAATACCGATAAGTTATATGAAAGTTTTTGAAAAACTATTCCGCGTTTCAATCGTATGTCTGACTCAAAGGAACTATTATTATGAAACTAAGCAAAGTGTACTTAAAAAGCTCCGTTAAGTGTCCTTATTATGCAAGCAATACTTGGAAGAAACAATTAAAGCAACGATACCCGTCCATTTTAGTGCCTAACTGACCCTACTTAAAGAGATTTTATTTATAAGCAGTGAATATTGTGCGTCGAAGAATATGTATTTCAGAAACGCGTTGGACTCTCGAGTGTGTGTATTGAGATCTCTCAAGCATAATGGTATTATTCTCATACTGTTCGCTAGACTTCGGACAACTGACACAGATGTCGTTATGAAATATCGTAGCGTAGACGTATGACAACTTAACGGCAAAGTGACCGGAACTTTGTAAAAATATGGTAAAGTGTAAGGGGTGTCTGTTTCGACTCGCAAAGTACTTATCGTCGGTGCGTTTTAACGTTTTTGTAGTGTTATTGCGCTTGTTAATTTTGTACATAAAGTAGACTATAAGTTAAAGAAATTAACACGATTCTACCGATAACATTTTATATGGATACACTGCGAATCTTTATATACTTATGATATGCGCAAAATAAAATACAGGGAAACTTATACAATGATTAAAATTAATTTCCACTTTGGTTTTATCCTAACGAATCTTTTTTTTATTAGTAAAAATCAGTCTATTTTCTAACTTTAGTGCTTATAAAATAACTTTTGAAGATTAGAATTTGCATAAAGATTCGCAGTGCATATATAAGTATAGTATTTAATAACAAATATTATTTGGTATGTAAATTATTTACTACCACGACCAAAGTAATAACGAGAAGTGTTCTCGCCTGTTAATATAATTGA